CTTGTTTACTGAATCTGTGGCTAGGCTGGGAGGATACCGGCTCTCACTTCGGAGCTCCCACGTTCCCTCCACCTGAGGGCTAACATCTCCGCTTCAGTAATCAACACTACAACAGACCTTTATTGTAATGTAAATAAAGTGCAAGTAAAAATCACCACATTGATAATTAAATCCGCTTCTAACATGCATCACAAAATCCTAAACATGAATTCTACTCATTACAAAAGAAAAATAAAATAAAAACAACGACATAATTTTCTCATACCATTATTTCTAAATAAGAAGAGAGAGTAAGAGAAACACATCACATAGCACGAAGAAAACACAACGAAAAATTTCATTTCATCAAATCAAATCCACTAGATAAGATAATGAAGAACACAATACTTAACTTTTTTCCTTTGAAAGAAAGAAGAAAATCTCTCACAAAGTCTATCCCATTGATCCATGCAATGCTAGTACAATTCCTTATAGATTATCTTAAAATCCCCTCTCCAATCTCTATAGAAAAGGTAGAAATATACATTGCTACTCCTATTCTAAGATCTCTAAACATTCCTCTCATGTTTCCTAATATACACACCCACACACACACACTATGAGAGGCGTCAGTCCCTTTTATTTTAAAGAGAGACAAACTTCCTTTATTTTTGCAAAAGATACATCTTTTCAAGAGAAACACATCACAAAACATGAAGAAAACACAACGGAAAACTTCATTTCATCAAAGCAAATCTACTAGATAAGTGTTTACAAAACCATAAGATAATGAAGAACACAATACTTAGCTTTTTTCTTTTGAAAGAAAGAAGAAAATCTCTCTCATAAAGTTTCCCGCATGCAATGCTAGAACATCTCCTTACAAATTCTCTCAAAATCTCCTCTCCAATCTCTCCAAAAGGGTAGAAATCTACATTTATACTCTTATTCTAGAAACCCTAAACTTTCTCCACACTTTTCATAACATTCCTCTCACACATATCCCTTTTTCTAACCTAGATTTATTCTTTTAAAGTGTATGGATGAAGTTTGAAGAGTTGCCACAAGAACCCTTTCAAAAAGCGTCCAAATACGTTGAATTTCGGCCCATAACCACCAAAAGTCAGTCCACAGTCGTCTCGGGCGCCGTCGGCGGGCCCGAGGGCGCTGTCGGCGGGCCCGAGGGCGCTGTCGGCGAGCTTTTCTGTCATTTTTCAGTCTTCTCGGGTAAATCTCGCCGTCGACGCCGTTTTGGGCGCCGTCGACGAGCAGACCGCGCAGCTCCACTATTTGGCTCCGTTTTAGCTCCGATTCGCCCCATTTTAGTTGCGTTGTGTTCCTAACAGATAGTCCTACAAAATAAACATGAAAACAACCTTCCTTTAAAGTGTAATCTCATTTAAAAATATGCAAGAAGTGTAAAAGAGATTAAACATCGAAAGACTTATCGAAAGGTGACAGGACAAAATTTCATTTCTTGCTCGTTTTTGCTCCAAATTACACCGTTTTTGCATCTTTTTGCTCTAATGACTATATTTTATCATACCTGAAACAAAACATCAAAAATACCCTTTTTTTAAGTGCATTTAAGTGCAATATCATCAAAAACAGTATAAAATAATTATGAAAATCTCAACATATTTTCCTTTGATCAAAGGTAAAGTGATAACTAGGAGTTGTATGTGTGCTCAATTTATTGTTCAAAACAATATACTTGATACATAATCTATAGAGAACATGGGTGGTTAAAATGTAGAAGTTCATTGGTAGTACTTTGGAGTGTGGGGATTTCATAGAGGTTTAAAGAAAAGATCACAATGACTTAAAATATTGGTTGTGTAAAACAGTAATTAGAGTAACCATCCATATTAATTGAAGTTTGCATTTGAAGAAGTCAATAATATCCAACAGAGTGCCATGGAGTTGGGAATGCTTAATTGAATGTTTGGTAAGAATTTAAGGGATTGTGGAAACTAATAGTAGAAAGATGATTAGAGTAGTGTATGTTAAAAAGATGGGGAAAATTAGATTTAAACATTTATAATAGAGGGAAGATAGCACAAAAGTATAACAATAACTTAGGTGGATTGCAATGACATTGAAGAAATATGAATAAAAGTAGTTTGACAAAGCTAACATGGCTGGAAAAAATGTGCAATATGATATGCCAAATAATAATAGCACCTCATGGGAAGGAACTGAGAGTATTGATCATATTGGACTAAGATAGTTGGTATAAAGATAATTATTATGATAATTTGAACCATGATTCGGTGGTAACAAAAGTATATAGAAATAGTATTATGACAAAATTCCTTCTAGATATCAAATATATTAGAAGCTATGATATCACATATCAACATTCAAATTAATTTAGGGTTTATAGTGCTTTAAACATTTGAATAGGCTTAGTATTCATAGCTGACTCCAAGAAGTTTGGATTGAGCTAATGATGATGATGATGATAATGAAGTTTTGAAACTTTTGAGTAGGACGCTTGTTGAATACGACTGTCTAATTACTTAGTTCGTAATTTAATTTCATACCACGTTTCTGGCAAGATATTTTAGTATTCTAGAGTATCCAAGTATTGCAAGTGTAATATTGATGCAAGAATCATATAGAAGTACCTATGCTCTATATTCTTTAATTTTATATTTTGTTTGTGTTCAGTTCTACAAAATTATTCATGTGTTTACTCTTCATGGTTTAAGCTTTCTTGGTATTAGTTGATATGGTTGATTAAGGTGTAGGCAGTCTAAGTTAACATAAAATAATCTAGAAGCTGGTTAAATCGTATATAAACTTTGTACAGATTGATTAATGAAACTAAGTTTGCGCCTTGCATTTAGCTGTAAGTTCTCTAATAGACTTTTCTGTTGAAATTTCTTTTCCTTTGATCTTCTCTTATTGGCTGGGCTTTTAGAAAACTTCCTGTCCATTAAATTTTCATAATTTACTTGGGTCTTTAACTTTCTGTGTCAATGATGTTTAGAAAATAACATCTGATTATAACTCATTTTATTTAACATCTCCTTTGCTAATGTGATATGCTTCACACTGAGCTATATTCTCATCTCCTTCCCTTCTCTTCTAAGACTAGAGCATTCTGCTGCAAACCTTGCTGATTCTATTCAAAATGGTGAGCTTCCTGGCAAAGCTACTGCCCTTGCACCATCCATATTAGAGGTATGCTTTTTTGCTTCTATGATTTTACTGGAAATTTTACAAACTGACATGTTAGCGTGTTGACTTTATTTTAGACTGGAAAGTCCTTCACTGCCAGGGGAATGCAAATGCTTGAACGAGTGGGCAAAGAGACCATTGAGCTTCTTATAGCTGAAACTGGTCTTGAAGATGAGAAGAGCTCTAAGAAAGCTGATCAACATGTTGATGAAGAGTCATTTGAAGAAGTTACATTTGACAGATGCTTTTATATATATGGGGGTCCTGATCACCTTGAGGTGTTCTCCGTCTTCTGAAATAAACTGGACATATTCCAATACCTTATTGTGGTGTCTGGCTAAGATTTGCATGTCTTTTTGACACTAGGAGCTGGAAGCTTTGTCAAACCATCATGCATTATTGTTTAATAGGAGAAAGATAAAGCTAGCTCATGAACAGAAGTCTTTCTATGATGGAAAATTGAAACTGATCCTACAAATTCTTAGCTTGGGTTCTGACTCTGAAGAAAGTGGATTGGTCCTGGATAAAGGAAAAAATGTTTTAAGTACACATGATGGCAACAATTTTGAGATGATGAAGCTGCGGGATTCTAGCATAAGCAAGGCCGCTGACATGGCTGCAGGGTAATAATCTCAAACACTTGAATTTTTATTTTTCAAAAGTAGATAATTAGTTCATTTCATATAATTGTAAAATTCAAAGTTGTCAACATGTAAAGGGACTAAAATTTGTTTCAGTTTTGATGCAATATTTTGCATTTGTTTCTGTTATGGGATCGTTGCGAAATAACCAAGACTCTCTCCTAAAAAGAACAAACTCTCTCTTAGCAGCCCAATTTTACAACATTTGTTCTATGTCCGCTGCTCCACTGAGTCATGTTGATGTGATTTCATGTGCACAAATCAATAGACTACTCATCCCTGTTTTGGTGGTGTGCATGATTGGTTGTAGCATGCGATAGTCACAAAACGCATACTGCCTTATCCTAGAGATTTATTCTACTATGGGTAAATTTATTCCATTTCCAGTTAAATGCTTAATTGGTCAAAAACTGAATGCATCTATCTACAAGAGGTTTGGTGCTAATCTACATCACAGTGAAAGATAGAAATTGGGGTATCTCACAGCATGACGACTAATGCTGCTTAATGATAGGACAAATTGCACTAATTTATCTAAATAACTGAAGAATTTGCAGGCCAAACACTGGAATGTCAGAACTGGATATCATTACAGTGGAATTGCATATCCAAATATCCAATTGGACATGCAACACGTTATTAGGTAGGCTTCCAGGAATATTCACCCCTCCCAGTTCTTTATACTATATGAGGTTCTGCTAAAGCGCATGAATCTCGATTTGATAATATGATATAGCATTGCAAATTTAAAACCATTAGAAGGCAGATTATCCTTAATATAATGTCTGAGCATAGCTGTTTCTATCTAGCATTTTACTTTTAATTGTCTCTTAGTATAATAACTGGCTTCAGTTAGGATGCAATTGGCCTAAAGTTTGCTTCAAAGGTACTTTAGTTGTCATTAACAGGCAATCAGCCAAAGTGGGGTACTTAGTGGCAGCAAGTTAGGCCTTTTCTAAAACATTAATTAATGGAGGGAGCCCCATGAATGTTGCTTCCAAAGTGACATCTTTGGTGTCAAACTAAATTATAACCTCACAAAAAACCCTTTTATGTTGCTTGGGCCATAAAACCCTTTCCAGTCACTGATATATGCCTTCTTGTTATTCAGATGGGTAGCTATTTTGATAATCCGTGTCTGATTTGCCTTGCCCAGCCATATAGTGTGGATGCTATCCATTTTAGGTAGTCATTTTCCTAGTATCCCAACCTTCGGCCTGGCCTCTTAGCTCCATTTCATCCTCCACCTAGGCACACTCCTAGCATTTTTGACGTTCGTGTGCAAATTCTCTCACTTCTTAGGAAAAATTACTTCTGAAGGGCAGCCATTTCCTGCAAGTTTAACTAAATTGCTTAAGGACACCCCTAGCATTTCTGATGTTCGTGTGCAAATTCTCTTACTTCTTACGAAAAATTACTTCTGAAGGACAGCCATTTCCTGCACTTTTAACTAAATTGCATAAGGACCTCTTAGTCCAAATGTGAAGGAATAACTGGATGAGTTGCCTGTTCTAGCCACTCAATACAAACCAAATCCTTGGTTCGTAACGGCCAAATCTTCCTCAGCTAAGGATTAACCTTATGAACATGTTCGAGCTCACATGCCACATTAATTTGCTTCGATAGAAAGCTTTCAGTAGAGAAATCTACACTTCTTACACCTTTGAAAGACGGCTTATATATATTAAAAAAAATAATAATAAAAAATAAAAATATTGTATATATATATATATATATATATAAGAAAATGGTTTAAAATCGTGTCTGTGTCTGTCTTGGGTGGTGGGTAAAACCTTTAATATAATATTTAGATTTCCAGTCTCTTGTTTGAATGACATGTTTCTTATTACTCAAATTTCTTTTTTTTAAGATCAAATCTGCAAGTTAATCATATTTGATTCGCCATTATGATGAGTGAAAATTTCAAATTAAGATGTTTAATGTGAGTGGTTAGTGCAATTTCAGGGTGAGTTTGGGGCGCCATTTTTACTTTGAACGCGGAAAACTCTCCCTTACCTGCGGCCCAACTTCATCGATCGGCTTTTTACCCCCATGACATAACCCTAATCGCAACATGCGTCCCGCGAAAGAACAAAAACCCGCGATTTGCTCTCCTCCTCTTCTCCGACGGCTTACGATACTTGGTTGTCTTCCTCCTCTTCTCCAACGTAGGTCATCCTCCCTCTCCTCTTCCTCCTCTTCTCACAAGTTCCTCACGCCAGCGGTAAGAACTTTTTTTTTGTTTTATGCCCATTGGATGCTTTGAAGCTATTGTTGTGTAGCTCTGATTTTCTGGTTCGTATTTGGCATTGGCATGGATTTGGTGTGGATGTGACTGTCATGAACTAAAATATTAGAGCAATTACCATGCTATAGTTTCTTGTAATTTTGACAAAGTTTGAAGTTTATTTTTTTTCTTCTATTGAGCTCTTGAATGATCGATATATTGATGCCAAAGGATGAATGTGGTCGAACTCCATGCTTTGTTTATATACTTGAGTAATGCTTCATCCTTCAAGGAAAACTCATTAGTTTAAGGTTTTGTTTAGGGCAGCGCTTTCTGATTTGGTGGTTGTGGAATTGGTGTGGTGGGCGGTGTGTGATTTAGATTGGGTTGGTGGCTGTGGCATTTCTGTTGGCTGTGGCTTACGGTGGTTGTGGCATTGGTGTGGTGGCAGGTGTGTGATTTGGGTTGGGTTGGTGGTTGTGACATTTGCGTTGCCTATGACTTACAGTGGTTGTGGCATTGATGTGGTAGGTGGTGTGCGATTTGGGTTGGGCTGGTGGTTGTGGCATTTCTGTTGCCTGTGGCATACGGTGGTTGTGGCATTGGTTCTTCTTTGAGTCATTTCTGTTTATTTTTTTGACATTGATTTTATTGTTATGTTACATTGCTTTGTTTTATTATAGTACTAAAATGACTAATAAGACTAAAGAGAGTGGTACACCGGCATTGCGAGAACAAGAAATGAAAATGATATTTGTGACCTTTGTCTAAGGAGATTGAACTGAGAAATAGACCTACGACCTATTTCAACAAGGAAGGGTGACGACATATTATCACAAATTTCAAGGAAAGTTTAGGCAGGGTGTATGACAGGATGCAAATGAAGAACAAGTGCAATCACTGATGCCTTAGTTGGAGGGTGATTGAATTATTTGTAAATTCTTCCAAAAACCACATTTTTAATATTCATGTTAGATTTTGAACATTCATTGATATGTTTTTTTTAATTTACAGTCATCTGTACTTTACTCTTTATAATGCTGGTTTAAAAATTTTTACTTTTGAAGTATCAAATATAAGACTGTCACAGATTTGTTACAAACAATATCACTAAACAGGGGAAAAATGATCATTTGTCTAGAAATAACTGCCTCACTACTGTTTTCACACAGCTGCAACAAACAACCAACCAGTTTTTCCGCAGCAGTTTCCTGAGGCAGTTAAGCTACAGCTGAAATACTGAGAAGCTACAACTGCCCCCAAACAGACCCAGACGCTAATACTTTTATTTAGATTATGAGTTAGGTGATGTGGACTGATTTTGAAAAGTTGTTAGTTACCACTTTGATGATATTATGATTTATTATGATACTGAACTTTATCACATTCACCATTAGTTTCTTGTTAAGTTACACCTCGAAATGCCAAATTATATCAATTTTTAGAAGTGAACCTTCCTTTTGCTTAATATTATCTTTCTTGACTGTCACAATGGCTGAAGGGTTTCCTCTTAAGTTCAAGGCCATCATTGATTGATCCAAACCTCAATCAATGTCTTTATGGAATTTTGTTGTCTTTATGGAATGGTCTTGTTATAGCATTGGTCAATCAATGGGTTTTGAGCCAATATAGCTCCCGTCGCAAATGCTCTAAAGAAAAAATTAATTCGTTAATCATCTTCGACTAATTAAACATGTGAGCTAATCATTGTTAAAATGATTGAAGCTCCAATTATTATATTTTCTGACATTGGCATGATTTTTGAAGTTTCCAGTGATGCACAAGCATTTGTGCTGGCAGTGTTTTAGGCTAGGAATGGTATTCAATTGCATACTTTGATGGGGAATTTAATGAAGTTAAGCCATGATACTCTATTTATTCGAGGGAGCTCTATGCTAAAATATAGGCGCTTTGTTAATTGTGGGAGATTGCATTCCGTTTTGAACATTTAGCCTTTGACGTATTTGTGCTGGCGAAGGAAATGCATATTATGCTGAGTGGGCTGTATTTTTTCAAGAATATTCTCTTATATAGTATAGTCCCTTTGATGATAATGAGGCTACCGTTGCACTCAGGCAATTTTATTCACTTGTATCTATTGTGAATGATTTGGTACTTGATTTTGTTTGAATACAATTGGATTATCTTTAGAGGTTCATCTATCACACATCCCCTGTACTTCTTTTCATGACATTTTGAGTTTCATAGATACATGTGATGGATGTTGGAAGAGATAATAACATGGATGTTATTAATGACAATTTGTATTGGCATTCTTTGAAAAAAATAAATAATTATACATATTAATGTCCAATTTTATACTTTTTTGGCTGGTAATGCAGTGTAATTCAACCTACTCCAGTATATGCAAATAAACATATTAGTCATGCTCCTTGCTAAATTTAAACATGGACTTTTTTTCTAGGATTTCATGGGATTGTAGACCGCATGTATAAGTATTCAATATTTTGGTCTGAGCGCATGCGGGGGCTATGTTTGTTGTTTCAAGTTTATTTCTAAGTAACTTCACACACATTTCGAAGCAGATTAGATTTGAGATTAATATCACACACCTCCATCTCAAGAAAGGGTGAGCCACATCCTTTTTGCCATAATAAGGAATATTCTAGAGAAAAAAAGAGAGAAGAAGAATAATCCAAGAGACTCTAGAAAAATCCACCACATTTCGGAGAATGCTGCAAGAGAAAAGCTTCAAGGAGAACTGAAGGATAGTCAAGAAAGATCTAGGATCATG